TTGAGTTTGGAGGATCCATTTCCTGCGACTTGGGTTACCCTGTAGGCTCCCTTCCAATTAACACCCAACTTCCCATGCGTTGGATCCTGGCGGCCCCCATGATGCGTCTGAGTACTAGGTCCCCAAGGACAAATGCATGGGGATTAACTCTCCTATTGTAGGCCGGAGCTATTTGCTATCGATAGGCAGTTATGCGCACTACCGCCGCCTCCCTATTTCCATCGAGTAAATCCAACTCTCGGCCAATGGCGGAGTCATTACTCCCATTCATTGCTAGGTCAGTTTTGAGCATAGGAAACTCGATTTCCAAGGGTATCACAGCCTCCATGTTGTAAGCAAGTGCAAATAGAGTTTCCCCTATAGTTCGACCTCGGACTTCCGAATATTATATTACTTCGCGACAACCTGCACTTGTATGTTGAATCTACTTATATATAAAAACAGATTGAACAACTCTGTTTTTATTAGAAAGTGGGCGTGTCAATCCTGCTTTCTAAGAAAAGCAGAATCCTTGACTTCGCTTTTAATAACAATTTGTTTCACGTATTCCTTCCCAAACGCCATGTAAAAGCGGATTTGTTGACCTTAATTTCTCAATAAAAGCGGATTTGTATAACCCGCTTTTAAAAAGTGTGATAGATTGGTAAATAAGTTTAAAACTACCGTATTTAGGTAATAAAGATTAAAAAAGAAGGTACATTGGTAAATAACTCGAACTTGAAGTGTATGATTATCTTGCAAGATATTGTAGATTGATAGGTTTTTTTTCTTGGTCGGTCAAATGGAAATGTTAAAACCAAGGACTTTAGTGTCGCTCGCGAAGTGACCAAATAGAATAATTTGCTTGCCCACTTGGTCTAGTGCAATAGATTCTTATCATTGTATGGTTTGGACAGAGTCAGATGTATACAATCTTACTTTCAAATGTGTAAAGATTAGTTTTGTCACTCAAACTATTGACCCCTAGGTTACATGAATCATCTTAGTTTGAGAATGTATCACATTAATTGCCACACTTCATCTATGCAAAATAACCCAATGGACCAGATGAGTTTTACCAATTCAATTCAATTTATAAATCATTAGTTAGTAAGGTGGTGAAAATAGTGGTATTATTGAGATATATTGTATTATTAATACAATAGCTAATGCTCGTATATGAAGATACTATATAGTACTACAAAATCACCAGTTGGAGTAACTATTATCCATTCGATAAACAATCACAAATTAGAGAAAAAAAATTTCAAATAAGTTTTATTTGTCTTTCTTTATTTTATTGATACATATAATTTTTTCAAACATCTCTCTCTTCTTCAACCTCTACTAATTATTAGAAAGTAGTTGAGTCAAAGGGTTTCTATCCCTCGAAGTAGGAACATGAGATTGAAGCAGTTGAGAAAGAACAATGAACCAACCTACTTTCGCTAATAATCTAAGGGAAAAAATTGGATGTCAATTGATAATGATTGGAAATTGTATTATTCTATTGGTTTAGATAAGTATTATGGCACTTCTTTTAAGCATTTTGTTGCATTTAAATTTTTTTTTAATGTTTTCATCTCATTAGGCTTTATTTGATTCAATTGGGAAAGAGCATACTTATTGTGGTATTCATTTTTATAAGAGATTTAAGTCCAACCAATTCAGATAAAAACCTAGAAGATTGAAAGGTTAAGACTAAAGGATAAAGATTTAAACGTAATTCAGCAATTCAAATTTTGTGGGAATCTAAATTAGTAGTAAACTCATTTAGAATTGGATTAAGAAATGATTCTAGAAGATAAGATTTTGACAAATCTTTGGTAAGTTGGCCTTCCTTTTTGACTCAAATATCATATTACGACAGTTATTATGGCTCTAGAAAGAAGACTTCAAGATCTACGACTTTGTATTCCACAAATTTTTTGTGAAATGCACTCCTACAAGGTCACAATCAGGATGGAAGTTTGAGTGATGCTGAAAAGATAGAATTTGACAAATTTATGATTCCTAATTTGTTACTATTTTGGTCTTGTCAAACTTTTATTTATAGTATATATATGAATAGAGAGGTACAAAAATGGGAGTCCTAGGCCTTGTTTGGTTTGTTTCTCAAAAACTGTTTTTTGTTTTCGTAAATAGTTTTTTTGAAAGAAAATTGTTTGGCTAGTTTTTTTTATTTTTTGTTTTTAAAAAATTGAGAATAAAAACTGGACAAATTTAGAGAATAAGTTAGAATTGTTTTGTGAGTTTTTGAAAATAACCTTTCCAATAATTAAAAAACACCACCACCACAACAACCACACTTTCATCACCACCACCAACACTATGTCCACCACACCACCACCACGATGTCCACCACACTGCTTCCACCACCCTTCCACCAACACCATCACCACCATATTCACACCAACACCATTGTCATGTCCACCACACTACAGTTCTATTTTCATCGTTTTCTAGGTTACTGTCCAAACAAGTTTTAATGTTTTCTATTTCCATAGAACTGTTTTTGAAATTATATAATTAAACAAGTTCTGCGACACAAAAAATACTAAAAATAATTTTATAAAATTCTTTCCAAAATAGTTTTTGGATACCCTTTTTTTGAGACGCAAACCAAACAGGACCTTAGAATCCTTCGTCGTCTCATTTTTCTTCTTCTTTTATTGCTTTCATGTCTATGAATTTCTAGATCCCATAACTAATACTAGTGGTGATTCTTTCAATAAATAATGATATTTATTTTAGATTCATTTTTTTTAATGCATGATTATTTTATTTGGTTATGAAGCTTTAGTATAATTTTTGCTCTATAAAATTTCTTAATTCATTATGTCATGTATATAGAGGTGTCTATGGGTCGGGCCCGTGAAATCTTTTTAGGCTGGGCCTGGGTAATGTAGGCCCAATCTCTTACCCAAGTGAGTTATTGGGCTAGGCGGGCCAGGTTTCGAGTAGGGTTAAGCTACTCGCAGCCAACCCGCGAGCCTATTGGGCTGGCCTGCTCACAGACTTTTTTATATACAATTTTATTTAAAAATAATGAATATTTTTGTAACTTAATATTTGTGTAAATTTTATTTTTAAATCAAAAGTAGAGTCAAAATGGACAAAAAAAAATTAATATTTTTTTTTAATTAGGGGATGAACTACATTCAATAGAATAAATACATTCCAATTAGGTTGACGCCTACTCACTTATCTATTATTTGTATTACGCTACCTTTTAAAAATTGTATGCTTAATAAATGAAAAAGAAAATAAACATTATTTATAGTATCTAAATTTTTAAAACTTCAATTTCCGTCATTGGGAGACTTATTTCAAAATATAACTTTTTTTCAAATGAAGGGTGGGCAGGCTCTTGGTCCGAGTTTTGGGCCGTATAATGGGTTTGGGGATAAACTCAAACCCTCTTTTTAAGGATATTGGGTTCGGACTTGAGTGGACCAACTATCGAACCTATCGGGTGTCGGGTCTATTTTTTTCGAGCCGAGTAATAGGACACGTTGGTGACCAGGCCCATGGACACCCCTACATGTATGCCAAATATTTTAGATTCACAGAAAGTCAAATAACTAGTTTTGTATTGTTAGATTAATTAATTAATTTTTTATTAAAAATAATTAATTTCTTGCTGGTTATAAAGAGAGTTTTAAATTGCTATAAAGCTTGATTGATTGTCGACACCGAGCACAATGAATACTTGTGATCTACAATTAAATGCTAACTTTATCGAAGTGATTATCAATTATATTTTACATTGTTTTTCAATATAATCATCGCTAAATCTTCTGATTAAGGTCACTCGTAAGCTATTCTTAATTTAATTTAAAAAATGGATCAAGAATAAGTATTATGTGAAATGGAAAGAGGAACCCTGATACTTTAATATCTCTCATTTATTGTTTTATTCCAAATTTACTGATTTCTTCAAATCCTTCAAAGCACGTCTTCTTTCTTTCTTATTTTATTGTGTTTCAAGTTTTTACCAATTCTGTGTGTACAACCTCGGCTCGCTTAGATAATCAATTATAAAGTTATAACACCCATAACTACTCACTGAAAAAGTGTTCTTTTCTTTCTACGAGTTGTGGTACATATGCCAAGACCCAAAAAAATAAACTGTGTTAAAGTTGGGTTACTTGTTTTATTTATTCAGTAAAGATAGTTGAAACTTGTACTTATATTTCTCATCTTGACAGTCTCTTTGATTGGACTTCTTCCCCTTATATAAGATGACATTGATAAAAACTAGCTTCATAGCAATAAAAATAGGCAAATGCCTTCATTGATTTCTCATTTCCTTTTTTTATTTTTTTGAGTAGCATTATTTAGATCTAAAAATTTGATCTAATTTATTGACATAATAATGTGGCTTCAGTGGAATCAGTGGATCAACACCAAATTCTAATATTTGATAGAGCCTACAATAAATTTAATGGTCATAATAAATTAGGTTCCAATAGAATTACTCTCCTTTTTTTTGGAAAAAAAAACCACATATTAAAGGCAAGTGGTTGGTATAAGAATAATTACAAAGAGCAATGTTATTTGTATTTAATTTATTAACTTAATTTACCATAAAATTTGAATTAATTATAAATCTCATCAAACATTAAAATTTGATATTAATCTAACCGTTACCATGCAACCACACCGTTAAATTAATGAAATAAATCAAATATTTAAATTTAAATAGCATTACTCCTGCACTAAACATGGCCAAAGTCAATTGTCGGAGTCATAATTGGCATAAACAACTATTTACCAATTACAATGTTGCAAAATCTTACATGAAAACTCACAAAAATTATAAATTGGTAATTTAGATTCTTCCCGCCAACATATATATGAAATCCGTTTGTAGCAGAGTGGTCTGAAATCTTTCGCGTATCTTGCAGAAAGAAATTGTTAAGTCCCATTGCAGCTCAATTTCCCACTATTTTTTAGTCCTCAATATCTGGAAATTCTTCCCTAATTCATCTGGGTACTATAATTTCTTGCCCGTGTCGATGCAGCCATTGTTGATCAAATACCGAACATACTGCTCAAGTATTGCAATTTCTGCGAATTGTCAGATTGCCCGATACGTGCGATTGGGCCAAATTCAGGATGCTCGAAGAGTTTTCGATCAAGTGCCCAATAAGAGCATTGTTTCATGGAACTCTATAATTGCTGGGTATTTCCAGAACAACCAACCCAAAGAAGCTCTGCTTCTTTTTGATAAAATGCCGGAGAGAAATATAGTTTCTTGGAATGGGTTGATATCTGGGTTTGTCAAGAACAGAATGGTAAAAGAAGCCAGAAAAGTGTTCGATCAAATGCCCGAAAGGAATGTTGTTTCCTGGACCACAATGGTTAGAGGATACGTTGAAGAAGGGTTGATATTGGAGGCGGAATCATTGTTTTGGCAAATACCGGAGAAGAATGTTGTGTCGTGGACAGTGATGTTGGGTGGGCTAATTCAAGATGGCAGGGTTGATGAGGCTCAGAAGCTTTATGATATGATGCCAGTTAAGGATGTAGTTGCTAGGACAAATATGATAGCTGGGTATTGTCAGAATGGCCGTTTGGCTGAAGCTCGAGAGCTCTTTGATGATATGCCACGACGTAATGTGATTTCTTGGACAACGATGGTAACTGGTTATGCACAGAACCAAAAGGTAGATGTCGCTAGGAAACTTTTTGAGGTGATGCCAGAGAAGAATGAGGTGTCATGGACGGCAATGTTAATGGGTTACACTCAGTGTGGACGTATTGAAGAGGCCTCTGAATTTTTTGATGTCATGCCAGAAAAGCCGGTTATTGCCTGTAATGCAATGATACTTGGATTTGGGCAGAATCGAGAGGTTGACAAAGCGAGAAAGATATTTGATTCAATGAGGGAGAAAGACGATGGAACATGGAGTGCAATGATGAAGGTTTATGAACTGAAAGGGTCTGAATTGGAAACACTTAATTTGTTTTCTCTGATGCAAAGACAAGGACTTAGGCCGAATTTCCATTCTTTTGTCAGTGTTCTATCTGTTTGTGCCAGCCTGGCAAATCTTGATCATGGTAGACAGGTTCATGCCCAGTTAGTGAGATCCAAGTCTGATTCCGATGTATATTTATCCTCAGTTTTGATCACAATGTATATGAAATGTGGTGATCTTGATAAAGCAAAACGAGTATTTGATAGATTCTCCCATAAGGATGTAGTTATGTGGAATTCTATGATCACGGGTCTTGCTCAACATGGTTTAGGAGGAGAAGCTTTACAAATATTTCATGAAATGTGTTCTTTAGGCATTGCAGCGGATGAGGTTACTTTTGTTGGAGTGTTATCAGCTTGCAGCTACACTGGCAAAGTTAAACAAGGTAAAGAAATCTTTGAGTCCATGAATTCCAAGTATCTCGTGGAGCCAAGAACTGAACACTATGCTTGCATGGTTGATCTGCTGGGCAGAGCAGGCAAGGTATATGAGGCAATGGATTTGATAAACAAGATGCCATTCGAGGCTGATGCAATTATCTGGGGTTCTTTAATGGGTGCATGTAGGACTCACATGAATTTAGATTTGGCTGAACTTGCCGCAAAGAAACTTCTCGAACTTGAGCCCAAAAATGCTGGGCCTTACATCTTGCTATCGAACATTTATGCCTCAAAAGGTAGATGGGCTGATGTTGCAGAGCTGAGGAAAAATATGATGGCGAGGAAGGTGAGCAAGTCACCTGGTTGTAGCTGGATTGATGTGGAGAAGAAGGTGCACATGTTCACTGGTGGAGAAAGCATGCCTCACCCTGAGCATTCAATGATCATGAAAATGCTGGAGAGATTAGGTGGGCTGTTAAGGGAATCTGGATATTGTCCTGATGGTAGTTTTGTGCTCCATGATGTAGATGAAGAAGAGAAGGTCCAAAGTTTGGGGCATCACAGCGAGAAGCTGGCTGTGGCATATGGGCTTTTGAAAGTGCCTGAAGGGATGCCTATTCGGGTAATGAAGAACCTTAGGGTCTGTGGTGATTGCCATTCCGCTATTAAACTGATAGCGAAGGTCACAGGGCGAGAGATCATCTTGAGAGATGCGAATAGATTCCATCATTTCAAGGATGGCTTGTGTTCCTGCAGGGACTACTGGTAATTACACAGAACACTAATGTCGGCAAAATAGTCTAAGGACAGATGGTTTTCTTGAGTTATCGAGCCTGCATATCCTGCTTTTGTGTGTTTAATAGTGGATCTCCCACATCCAACTGCGGATAAGATTAGTGAATCATGTAATATACTCTGCGAACTTTTGTGCAAGGAGAATCGTGGTAAAATTGAGATGGAACGAGGTCAGACCATCATGCTTTATACTTCTCACATCACTTTTGAGAGGAAAACTACGGAATAACGTGAAGATGGAACCATCTTGCTCAGCAGCAATCACAAAGTCAAATATTTGTGTTTGGTTGATCCCAAAGATATTGATTTGTATAAATCACCTGTTAACAAATACCATCTGGATCTGGGACCAAGGATGTCCATTTCTTCACCTGTGCAACTGGTATTCTGAAATTCATTGAACAGTTCTGAATCTGCACAATTGATTACTTAGTTAAATATAAATCGCACCTAGATGTTGTCACACGTTTTTTTTATGAACAGGTGATTATGTGCCTTAGATGGAAGGAGTTCAACCCAAGTGCTTTTGGTCTATGACCTGGTGAGAAGGGAATTATGAAACGGCTTGTGGAGGCTGCGGTTTCATTCCATATGCTGAAGCATGCCAACCAAGTTTTGTAGCAACTCTGTTATTTGCAAAAGAATTGAGCGTTGCCTGTGTCTTGGTATGTCACATATTACTCCAGTGCACAGAAGTTCGTGGGGGTGACCCAAGTAGTTGCCTTATCCTGTTGATGACAACTTCATGGAAATTAAGGTAAACTTCCCTACATGACTATACTTGTTACAACTTGTAGTTGTTGCTATTAAAAATTATGTTGTCATCTTGTGATGAAATATTTAAATCTCGTCAAGATGGGCAATTTTGCCCAAAAATCCCTCCCACTCCCAACAGAGCTTGAAATTGAAGATGCCCAAGTGTGAGAATCGGGTCTGGGGAGGGTCAGAAGTGTATACTTGTTTTGGTAAATATAAATTTAATTAATAAAATGTGAAATATGTAATTTTCAATTGTTCAACTCCCCAGCAGTCATCTATTTACCTGAGTTTTCTATGTTTTCTTATTAATTTTACTTTTCCCAACAAAATTAATCTTGTTAAGCATGTATCTGTATATTCACAATGTGTCTTTTTCTTCATGTTCCGGAAATCCTATGGCCACATGTTAAAGTGGCGATGGCGAGCCTGGTTCCTTAAATCGAAGCATGTATCTGAGCAAGATTGTTATTTGATCGGATTTGATTTTAGTTATTCTCAAATAGGTGCAACGGACAAATTCAAATTTAAAGTAGGACAAACTTAAATTTAAATGGCGCAAAAGCTAGCCGCTTCATTTGAAGAGAGACCAAGGATACCGAGGGAAGTGGGAGATCATAGCTGGAAATTTGTTTGGAGTCAAAAAATTTCAAATAAGATTAAGATTTTTATGTGGCAGTTTTGTTTAAAAACTCTGCCCACCAACAATAACCTGAAGAGGAGGAATATTTGACCTGACAATTTGTGTAATGTTTGCGGCAGATATGCGGAAACAGAGACACACATCCTACAGGAATTCTATTGGGCAAAACTATTTTGGCAGCTTAGCTCTATCCACAGAGTTGTTCCCAAGCCAAGTCTAAATCATTTACTGTGGGTGAGACGCATCTATCATATGTTAAAAGAAGATGATTATGATTTTGTTCTTTTTCGGGCATTAATATTTCATCCTTTAAATGAAATATTTCAAAGTCTAATGTCTGGAGAGAAAATCCACCACTCTACAGCTTGTCTAAGGACAACGTTCGAATGTTGTCTGGCATTCGAACGTTGTATAGCATTCGAACGTTGATTCTGTCTTTGCTTAATGGGTGTTCGAATGCCAGAAGGGGTCTGATCTTCCCACTCAAGTGGCATGTGTTCTTCTGTGAAAGTTATTTCCACACTCCATGTATAACTTGACTTTGCACTCGGCAGCCTTCAATAATTCAGCAGAATGTTCGAACATTAATTGGTATTCGAACGTGGTACTCAAGAACCTCAGTGTTTTTCTTCTTTAGCTGCAACACGTCATGTCTCAGTATTTCAACAATTTGGTCTTCAAATAATTTCAAGGGAACGTTCAAACATGAGTTGGCGTTCGAACGTTCTTGCTTTGGTCTAAGCTTTTCTCATTTTGCCCCCCCAAGATGCTAGTGTTGCTTTTAAGTTTGATATTTTGCTGCCTTTGACCACTTGTTCACTTTAAGACCTGAAATGTCATCATTTAAACTCCATCAAAGTATAATTAGTCTTAAAAATACATAGCGACATGCTAATTTTAACAATTAATCACATCCCCCAACCTAAATATTGCTAGTCTCTAGTAATATAATAACAATTGAATGAAAATCTATTTCTAGTACCATTTTCGTAGGTCATCCAGTTGCATTTAGCGTATGCAACAAGCCTTTAAACCACTAGGTTTACCTTAGTAGATGAGTATTGTCCCGTGAGAGTTTTCAATGAAGCTACCCACAAATTCCAGTCGAACAGATGTGTAGGTGCGATTGCTAGTTAAAGTAAGTTAGCATCATGGTTGTTGGGACACCTATCCCTTAATTTCGACTCATATCCCACACACTTCTTTTTCAAAGGTATTTATTCTATACAAAAATTAGCATTTGTCACATTGGCATTTGGAATTCCCTGCGCAGTAGGAACGATCATTCTAGCAACAAGAATTGTTATATAACAAACATTCTACTTTACCACCTTCTATGGATAGCTTTGATTTCACAAACCTCTCTTAAAAATGCCCTCAACAAAAATTCCCTCAAATTATAATGACTTGTCTCCCAAAGGGCATGTAATCAGAGGATGACCAGTCGAAAAAGTCACATACACAATTAGTATGGGAGTGAAGCTTTTAGAAAGTAGACTAATCATGTTTTTGACATAATCTCATGGAAGAATATCGATGCAATTAAAGAAATACTATTTAACATACCTCAACTTTTGGTTGACAACACACACATACATCAGACTTGAGATCAACTAGGGCTTTTTATAGGTTGTAATGTGGCCAGAGGTCAGTGGCTAACAAAACGACGTCAATGGTATTCAAAAACTATCCCTTTTTTATATAGTGTAGTATACCTCTTTCTAGCTTTTCGACATTTTGCCTAAAAATGGTATTTCTATCTTTTATTTTTCTCATTTTTTACTTGGCAATATTCTGTTTATCTGATCCTTTTTCACTTTTTGTTGTTTTCCCCGACTTTTCTTTCATTCACCAGTAGCCATTATTGTCTTTTTCCTTTCTCCTATTTTTTCTGTATCATACTGATAGATAAGAGGGTGTAAGAAAATTAAATAGTAAGGTATGTCAAGTATATTTTCTTGTGACTTGGGTATCATATGGGTTTCTTAAAAAAATCATTCATTGAAGGCTCAAGCATGGCTAACTAGTGATATAATTTTGTAAAAGAAATGACTAAGACTCAAAATCATATCAAAGATGACCTAATATCCTTTCTCAAATATGTGTCGTATGAACAGATTCCTTGTGGGGTATGTCAATAGATTGCTTTAGTTACTTCAATCAAAACAAGTTTAATGAGACTATTCACGAATTGAGAAGGAAAGACCTTACTTGAGTAAATGTTGATGTCTCTCGAAAGTATTGCACGGCTCGAAACATACCATAGTATTTTTCATTATCTCCACTGGTTATGTCAGGTTTCTCAAGGAATGTAGGTTGTATATTAATTCCATTTTCGAATTTGATCATCGTTCCTTAAGAATAACAAATATCAATGTACATTTGATAATTGAGTATAGAGAAAATACCATTTTTCTAAGAAACGTGGGTTTAAGTCTAGATTGCTAAGTTAGGTGTGTCAAACCAATCATGTGATTAGTTACTTTAATAAATAGTCTTAGAATCCACATTTGTTCTATCATTCATTAACACATAACAATATAATGCTAATTCTACACATACATTTAAATAGATAAAAGTGATAAATTGAACTATTCATTTCACAAAATATGATAGTTTAGCACAAGAACAACATATTCAAATCATCCACAAAAGAAGAAACAAACACACACGACTACACTCAAGAACAGAAATCTCTATCTCACTCTCTGCCAACTCCACCCCTCAGAAGAAGAAGAATCTCATCCTACTTAGCTTCGATGCTAAGCATGATCTCTCGAAGTGAGCACCGGGTGTTGGTGCTGATACTAGGCCCTACCTCCTCCTGAGTCTTTGTATGCTCTCTCTCAGCATTTAACTCTCTCTCCTCCTCCTTATCTAGCACTTCCTACACCTCATCAACACCTCGGGTAAAGGGCTCCTCATGTCTAGCTGCCGAGGCGTCACTGTGACCTTGGCTCCTTCGGAAGGAAGCCTTGTTCAATGGCCCTATCAGTCTTTGTATCTTCATATCTGGCCTCACCCTAATCCCATAGTCCTTGCACATCTCCGTCACCAAGGTTCCAAAAGGGTGCGAGTTCCTCTTCACATCGCATCCCTTCTTCATCTCTGTCAAAATCAACGATGGTAGGTCTATGTTGTGGCCTTTCCCAACTGCATATAATAGACAGGCCATCTCGGGGAGGATCTCATTCCTGCGCCAGATTGGGGTGAAGTTCGAGACCACAATCAAATTCAACATTTTATACTTATCGTTCAGTTTCCCTTATCGAAAAAATCTCCGCTCTGCCCAAGAAAAAGTGGCCAACCCCGTCAACTCGGCCCCCACAACGTTCATGGCCACGTTCTTCCTTAGGGAGTAAGTGGGACTTGGTACCCGAGGCACTTTTTGCCTCATCTCTCGTATGTAGTCTTCCTCCACATCGATGTGAGTCCCCCTCAAATAACTTTTTATCACCCCGTTGACTATTTCGGCGTTGGAGTAAAACTCCCGCACCAAGTCAACCACGACCTCTCCGTCGTTTCTCAAGTACAACATCCATCCCCTTCTCTCCATGTCCTAAAAAATCCCCAAC